GCTAGCTGCGGTGGTTCACACCTGTAATCCTAGCACTTTGGGAGGCTGAAGTGGGCAGATCACCTGAGGTCAGGAGTTTGAGACCAGCCTGTTCAACATGGTAAAATCCCATCTCTACTAAAAATACAAAAATTAGCCAGGCATGATGGTGCATGCCTGTAATCCCAGCTACATGGAAGGCTGAGGCAGGAGAATTGCTGGAACCTGGGAGGCAGAAGGCTGCAGTGAGCTGAGATCTCACCACTGCACTCCAGCACTGGGCAACAGAAACAGATTCCATCTCAAAACAAAAACAAACAACATAGAGAAACCCTGTCTCTACTAGGAATAAAAAAATTATCTGGATATGGTGGCACATGTCTGTAATCCCAGCTACTCATGAGGCTGAGGCACAAGAATTGCTTGAGCCTGGGAGGTGGAGGTTGCAGTGAGCCAAGATTTGTGCCACTGCATTCAGCCTGGGTGACAGAATGAGAGTCTGTCTAATATATATATATATATATATATAAAATATATATATTATAATAATTATATATATATTATAATAAATATATATATATAATTTCTAATAATACCATCTGGAGATAGAACAGTATTACATTTAAATAACATAGACATACATAGGCCAGGTGCAGTGGCTCACATCTGTAATCCCAGAAATTTGGGAGGCTGAGGAAGGTGGATCATTTGAGGTCAGGAATTTGAGACCAGCCTGGCCAACACAGAAACCCTGTTTCTACTAAAAATACAAAATTTAGCCAGGCGTGGTGGTGGCACATGCCTGTAATCCCAGCTACTCGGGAGGCTGAAGCAGGAAAATCGCTTGAACTCAGGAGGCAGGCAGGGGTTGCAGTGAGCTGAGATCGTGCCACTGCACTCCAGCCTGGGCCACAGAGAGAGACTCAGTCTCAAAAACATAAATAAATTAATTACAAAATGAATGACACAGACATACATAAAGACACAAATAGAGATTCATCATGGCTTCTGTTCTGAAATTTGAACCACACGTCAGTCACAATAATGGAAAACTCCCTAGCTGGATCCAAATTGTGTGCTTGACAGTTAAAGTTACCTGGTCAGATGGCTAAAGGCTTTCATTAATATTTTTGGAAAAGACATTCAGGATTCTTTCATTTGCCACTTTTCTAAAAAGTTCTTTTTTTTTTTATTCTGATGAGTCATTCTTTGAAGTTTGCATTTTAAAGATTTAAACATTTCTAAGGCAGAAAGGCTGTTATGTTTTCACCAAAAAGGAGTCTTGGAGCATATTTACTTAGTGTTGGGAGTCAATCTTATTGAGACTGTGGACTAAGTTTTAGGTGAGTGACAGGGGAGAAATCCATTTTTTTCCAATTAGTCTCAGGCGGTTGCTTTTATAATAGCCAAGTTGTGTGCAAGACCAAGATTTGCATTTAGTTGTTGCAGATCCTCCTGGCTCATTTGAAGATCTTTTAAAGGAAGATGGTGTTCAGAATATTCAAATATTCAGATGCAAAAAACAAGAGATCAAACAGCCTTGCAGATTTAAAATATTTTTTTTTTTCATTTTTTGAGATAGAGTCTTGCTCTGTCGCCCAGGCTGGAGTGCAGTGGCACAGTCTCGGCTCACTGCAGCCTCTGCCTCCCGGGTTCAAGCAATTCTCATGCCTCAGCCTCCTGAGTAGCTGGGGTTACAGACGCCCACCACCACACCCAGCTAATTTTTGTATTTTTTTTTTAGTAGAGATGAGGTTTCGCCATGTTGGTCAGGCTGGTCTTGAACACCTGACCTCAGGTGATCCGCCTGCCTCAGCTTTCCAAAGTGCTGGGATTACAGACCTGAGCCACTAAGCCAACCTCAAAATAATTTTTATAAGTGTGCTGTAAAGATTTCTTTAGAGAGGCTTTTTTTTTTAAGTCATTCTGTCTTTGGGAAGCTTCTGTGTACCATCGAAAAATGCATCTCATTGTTTCTTAAGTACTCAGGATCGTCTTTTTTTAATGCAACCATAGATGAATAATTTCATCTAGAGTCAAACTTCCCTATTGTGGCCACTGTAATTGTAAGTTACCTTCCTGAGGTGCATCCATTTCACTAGAATGGCACAGGTTCTGAATCTTCAGTTTCTAAACATAAAATTAGCTGGAGCTCCAAACACAGGGGTTTCAGACTCCCCAGATTCTGATGAACCCACAATGCCCTGTCCTTCTAAATATGTGCTTATTTGAGGCCTCCAACTGGACCCTGTTCATTTCCTGTCAAACACCCACTTCAACCTCCAGATCCCAATCTGGATTCCAGTCTGGAAGTCAGTATACTGGACTGGACCTAGTCCAGCTCCTGTCAAACACCCAGTTTCACCCTAGTGAAAACAGCAAGGGCCCCAGCATAGCAGGGAAAAATTGGAGGTAATAATAACTCCTATTTATGGCTGTGTGCCCAGTCCTGTGTGCACCAAGGGCTTCCAGTATACCCTGTGAAATAAAACTATTATTAACCCCATTTTACAGATGAGGAAAGAGAGGAAGGCAGATGACTTACAAAGGTTACATAGGGCCAGGCGGAGCTGGGATTTGAAGCTCAGTCATTAAAATAGACTCGGCAGTGTGGGTTGTTTGAAAGCTTTGTGCAAAAGCCAGGAAGTGGCCCCAGAAAGAGGCACCAGGGTTGCATTAACAGAGGCAGGGGGCTGCTCCCCTGTCTTCCTGTGTGACCTCACACTAGCCCTGTGAGAGTGACAGGCCTGGTCTATCACTCCAGGTGATGGCTGGAGAAACCACAGTCCAGAGAAGTCGGTGATTTGCCCGAGATCACAGAGTCAAAAGCAAAGCTGAGGTCCATGAGCCAGGTCAGTGACCATACCCTCCCACCCCACACCCACCCTACCCTAACACCCCGCGTTAGGGCCTAGTGCTAGGCACTGCGGACGCTGGAGGGAGCCGGAGGAGAGGGAGTGAAGAAGGGAGAAAGCTTAGTTTCAGGGCAGACGCCAGACCTCTGGTCTCTGGGTGGGATTCCTACAGTGCTGAGCCTTTCAAGCCAGGGAAAAGCCATTCCAACCCTGACCTTGACCCCTTAGGCCTCCGTAATGCTTGCTTTAGGTGGCAGCACCCTCGCGTGGCTACAGTGGGTAACTACATAAAGTCACAGGTTTCCTCCCTCAAAACGATGCCTCACTCCCTGGGGCCTCACCCTTCTGCAATCCCTCTGAGCCTCAAAAAGAGAAGATGGCCATTCATGGGGCTGACGGCAGGTAAGGGCAGGATGGCATGGACAGAGCACTGGGCTGGGAGTCAGGAACCCTCAGATAAAATCCTCACTTGGTTACTGACTGCGAGGCTTAGGTCTCAAACTCCTCATCTGTATAAAGGGCTGAAATATCTCCCCTCCCTGACTCCCTAAAGCTTTCCACAAAGACCAATGGTATCTCAAATACAAAGTACTCTGTAAACTGTAAAGCACCGTGAGAGGGTAAGAGTTATTACATAAACTGAGGAATACACTTTGGAGGAACTCTGGGAGAGAGACCAAGAATGCCAGTACCCAGTGCATGACAGCCCAGGTCATAGAATCCTTGGGATGGACTTGGTAGGAGAGTAATGGTGGTCAGAAGAGGGGGTGGCTCAGAGCCCAGCCCACTCCATGAAACTCAGTCCTGCAGATGGGGGGGTCTGCTCCCCATGCCCACCCCCTTGCATGACGAACTAAGGGGAAAGCCACAAGCTTTATTAAATCAGAGTTGGTCTATCAAAAGACTTTCATCAGGTCCTAGGACCCGTTTCCACATCTACGAGACAGGGATAGCCATTCTTTGCAGGGCTGTCGGTTCCCAGAACCGTTGTTGAGAACATGTAAAAACCATCTCATGGGTGACTTGGTGCAGAGTCAGTTCACAACAATTTACATTATTATGTAAACTAATGAACAAAGTTTTGTTCATCAAAAACGGTGCAGGAAAACTGGCATCATTTATTACACCAGTGTGCTAGACACTGAATTTAATAGCCGTAACTTCCCATGACAAGAGAGCCACTTTGCATAGATCTGTTACCTCTGGTCCACTTCCAGCAACGAATTTGATGAAAGACGAGGTGAACTAACTTGCCGAAGTGCACAGAGTGGCAAGACCCACACGTGAGCCCACGTCAATGTGACTGGAGTCATGGTATCAGAGCAGCATGGACTGCAGTTCCCAGTGCCTGCAGTGTGCCACCTCTGCAAGCCCCATGATGGCTACCGTAGCGGCCCCAGCGACAGCTGCTGAGGCAAAATCACATGCTGGACTGGAAACCCGCATTCCCTCAGCTTCCTTTTCTTCTCCCTCTATTCCCAGGGCCTGTTAGTGACTAGCCCTTACCCTTGAGGGGCCTATGTGAAGTTCCTAAGTTCCTTCAACCACCCTGAGGCTCCACTTCCAGACACCAGCTGGTGTGGGCTTCCACCTGGCCTCTCTGGTTGGACCCAGCCTGTAACTGCCAACACTTACCAAACCTGCCCCTGGAGCAAAGTTTGTGAAGAAGGGCAGATGGCATCCTCAGGCCTGGGCCACAGGCACAATGGTGAACTCAAGCCTCCTGTGTTACAAGCTAAAAGAGGCTCCCAGTCTGAAGAGATGAGCATGCTCGGACATTGGACCACTTGGCGGGCCTCAGTAGTAGGAACAGGTTGGCAGGGTACAACTGGAGCAGCCCAAACACAGAAAACAGGGAGAGACCCAGACAGACAGTGCTGTAACCCAGACACCTCATCTGAGAGGCCCAAGGAGAATATTCTGACATGCAGAGTTGGAAATCTGGATTTTTATGTGCAGTATCTTGATTCTGAATGCACTGGGCAGGCTGAACCAAACATCTTTAGTTTAAACTGGGCTCAAAGAGCCATCAGTTTGATACCCCTCCCCCAACTCTCACAAAACAACAAAAAAAACCACCAGAAAGCAGCATGAGCAGGAAAGGGCTGTCCTGGGGAACTACACTGGGGGTAGGGCAGGGGGAGAGGTTAAAATAAAGCACAAACCCAGATTCCAAAGTTCTGTATTTTTCAAAATAAAGATCACACATTGTTTAGAGACAATCTACACAAGAGTTACAAAAAATAGTTGCCCAGGCATAAGCATACACAGGTTTGTTAATTATACACATATGGTTACAAGTGTGCTTGCAAAAAAGTTCATTGGAAATATACACAAGGCTCTGGAAATGTACACCGTGTAGTGTTACAATTCTATATTCAAACAAGGAAAATTGACAGTATGTTACATTCACTTACAAGTAGACAAAATGCAAAATACAGTTCATCTTCTGTACAAAAGGGAAGGGCAATTCACACTTTACAAGGTGAGAGGGGCTCTGATTGTAAGGAAAGCTCGGGCAGGGCTAGACTTTTGCACGTCCTTTTGACTGTCACAAAATCAAAACATTACTTTTTTAGGATTAAAAAAACACTAGTGAGAACTCAATCTTGAATAACATTTAGAAAGAATCTCGCTATACTTGAGACTAGATGACAAATAAAACCAAGCTATTTTTTTCTTTTTAAACATTAACTAGGCTGTATAAAGAACATTTATTCCTTCAAAAGAAAAAAATTTACTTCTGGTTGAAATTACAATTTACAATATACAACACTATATGCTACGACCATAAAAGGTGAGAATATACACTGAATGCACAGGGCTGGCTAATTCTCTTTTCTTACCAAAAAACGTGTTTATGTTGATTCAAACTTCTCCACATTTACATTACAGGTATACAAATGTACAATTGTACAATCAAAATTATGTTCGACTACTAGGGTACATTATAGATACAGATTAGACATCAAAACAAGAAAATACTACAAATTTGTATATATGCAAAGTCTACACCAAGTATACACTATATATTTATAGAAGCAAGACCAAAAGCAGAGTTGGATTTTTTTTTTTTTCTCATGCTAAATAATCAGATTTTGCCTTTCAATGTTAATAGAAAAAAATCCAGTAGGCAGTAAACAATCACACCCGCCCAGCCTCAAAAGACGGTTCTGGGTGCTCGCATCTCCTCCTCACGAACAGCCTTCTTCAGCATCATATAGTCTCCAAAAAAGGCATTTTTTAGAATTTCATAAACTTAATGTCACAAACTGAAGCTTTAGCAACTCTGAAACCTTTTTCATTATATATATATATGTATATATATTTTTTATAAACAGTGTTAAATGCCAGTTTGGGGTCATTTAACTACAATTCAAACTTCTCAGGTTTTTTTGTTTTTGTTTGTTTTTTACTAAAATGAGGAGGTGGGGAAGAGCTATTTGCAAAACTTGCCGGCCAGGCAAATGAGCTAAAAACCTTTTCTTTTCTTTTTTTTTTTTAAAGCTTTTTTTTTTTTTTTTTTGTTAAACCAACCACCCTGAAAGTTTCCACATGTGAAATATAGATACAACAGTGAACAAAATATGTGGCCTCCCATGTACATTGGTTACCTATGTACAAGTATCCTATACACCAGTAAAACAGCAGGGCAATTAGTCAATTAAAAAAAATAGTACATGTTATGTGTAATAAAATTAAATTTACAAAGGCTTTTCCACTTGTGGATTTGATTCCTTTTTTGGAGGAGGGAGTAATCCTGGAGCAACCACTTGCCCGTCTCAGACTCTACACTAGAACATTTCTGGTTGCTGGTTGGATTTGCCAGTGGGCCAGTGAGGTCAGCGGGAATGAGGGAACAGCGGGTGACACTGCCTCAGATGATACCATTAGGGGGGCCACAGATGGGCCCTAAGTCAACGCCGTTCTTCATGTAGTACTTCTCCAGCTTGGCCAGAATGTGCTTGCCATAGGTGTACTTACGAAGAGTTGCGATGTGGGGCCGGATCTGGGGAGGAAAAACAGTCTGTGTTACACGGCCTGAGAAGAGACTTGGGGCCGGCTTCCCGGACATGCATTTGCATGTCACGCATCTCACACACACACACACACACACGCACACGCACACGCACACTCCACAGCAATACCTTTCACTGGTTCAGCCCAGTCCCCTGACTTCTAGCACTTTGGCAACCCATCAGATGAGGAGAGGAGCTCCTATCTTGAGTGGTACTGCAGGGCCTGAGGGCCCTGGAGACTGGGTGGCCATGGGCCACTCCCAAGACAGCACATGGAGAAAGTGCATCCTAGCTGGGAAAACACACTACCCACCACCCACCAGCTACACAGTGCTTCCCGGCAAGCATGTGCACAGGTCCCTCTGGCCCCATGCATGGCATCCAGGCTCTCCTGAGCAGTGGGGGTTATTTCTGGGCACCACGAATCCTGAGCTTACCACTTGACCCCATCTCTCCAGGTCACAGTGGATCACAGAAAGCTAATCAATGACAAGAAGAGTAATGATGAACATCAGGAGCTGGTATGATTATCCCCATCTTACTGATGGAAAACATGAAGGCAGAGTGGTTAAGTTACTCAGCCAAGGTTGAATGGCTAACAAAGGACAGCACAGATAGCTGAGCCCAAACTGTGTGGCTCCTCCACAAATTAGGTTTCTCCCCACTGTGCTCTCAAGGCATGCCCGTCACACCAGCCTCATCCCTCACGCTCTCCGACCTATGCTCTGGGTCACTTCTTCAAGTATTCCTTTCTGTTCTTCCCTCCCTGGGCTGATCCATTTCAAGAAGTCCTGCATTCCAGAAAACTTGAGAGGTGCTTCTTCTCTGGAAGCCCCTTTTCTTTTCTGTAAGCTCAGGGAGCATTCTACATACCTCAGCTGTGTCTGCAATCTTTTGCTTAATTATCAATATTTCCATATAAACAGTAAAGGACCAGTTTATTCATCAGATTCCCCAGAAAATAATCCAAACCTGCAACTGCATACATAAACACACTGGATAAATGTACTGCAGTAGACGGAGGCTCTCCAGGTTGAGAGCTCCATGAGGGCAATTTTTGTCATTTAGCTGTGTCCTCAAAGCAAGCAAGGGTAGATCCGGTCTAGAAATCACTTGCGCATGCTTCCCAGGACACAGAGCTCTATCGGGTGTCACATTCCCACTTAAGAGCCTACAAGGGGCTGTGCGTGGTGGCTCACGCCTGTAATCCCAGCACTTTGAGAGGCCAAGGCGGGCAGATCACGAGGTCAGGAGATCGAGACCTTCCTGGCTAACATGGTGAAACCCCGTCTCTACTAAAAATACAAAAAATTAGCCGGGTGCGGTGGCAGGTGCCTATAGTCCCAGCTACTTGGGAGGCTGAGGCAGGAGAATGGCCTGAACCCGGGAGGCAGAGCTTGCAGTGAGCCGAGATCTCGCCACTGCACCCCAGCCTGGGCGACAGAGCTAGACTCAGTCTCCCAAAAAAAAAAAAAAAAAAAAAAGAGCCTACAAGGGAAACTGGCTGGTGACAAACGGTCCTTGGTTCCAGTTTAACCTCCCTTAAACTCACGTGTAGAACGGCATAGGCATATGTAATAATGCTACACTTTCCTTTCAGTTGTTGTACTATGTTACTAATGTTTCTGTCATGAGAACTTGAGGTTCACGATCCCCTTGCTTTTGGTAGGTTTCCTTTTAGAAAATAACCGAAATCCAATCCATTCCTCCCTCCCTGGAACTGGCTGCTGACAAGTCCAGGAACTTCACCTTTGTACTTCTCCAGAATAAACCAAACCAAAAACTCCTAACAAGCCACACACACACAACATGTTGAACTCCATTTTTTATTGGATTTAACAAGAGGTGAAACGTTAATTACCTGCTTCTGTCCTAGTGCCCCTTTTGCTGAAAAGGATACCACTTAGTAATGGAAGAGCTGAAAAATTAAGAGGGCTTTCTCGGGATTCTCCCCGTCAACTCCCTCAGCCAACCAACTGCTAAACCCTACCAATTCTAGCGCCCTATTCTGTTCACTTCTCTTCAATCCCAAACCATCACAATCTGGTGCCCTGACAGCCTCCCATGTGGTCTCATCACTGTCTCCCCTCCTCTAAACTACAAAGGCCACATGGCAGCCAGGACAATTATTTGAAATGTAAGTGTGATTTTGTCACCACACTCCTCCCCCACTGAACTTGTTTTACTTCTTCAGATACAACACGGTCTGGCTTCCAAGTCTTCACACACCACGTTCCCTCTTCTGGAAAGAAAGGGTCATCACTCTATGAAGCATCACTCACTGAGACAGCCTCCTCTGTGCCCACACGCTACAGAAGACACCCTGCACGTTCCTGGACAACCCTTTCCCCTGTATTTCTCCAGCATCCCAGTAACTATCTGCGCACAGCACTGTCGTGTTCACCAATACAACCCTGTTGAGAATACGACCTGCTGTACAGCAGGTGTTCAGCACTTAATGATTGAATGAATGGACATGTCTTAAGCTCCTCCTTACCTCCAACACTCCCTCCACCTTCACCAGCATCCTCAAAACTTCAACTTTAAGAACTTGGGACTCCCCAAGCCTTCAACTGCCATTGCCAACACCAGTGCAGTGTTCTGGATTGGTTTAGTATGACTCAGGGGTGGTGGGTGTCTTGTCTGGCTCAGAACTTGAGTCCATTAACAAAGATTCTCATTACCGAACTTTGTTCTCAGTGAGGGCAAGGGGGTCATCACTGCCAGACAAAAGGCCAACCAACCCCTCAAATGAGAAGGGCTCAGTAAGCTCAGAGCCCAAAAGCTGCAGGCTCAGATGAGAAGCACCAGAGGCTGGAGGCACTGCCTAGCACAAACACAACTGTAGCATACCCTGCCTGTGGGTCTGTTTTGTTTCCTGGGCCCTGTGGTGTCTGCAGTGCTCACTGGACCCACACCGTGACTTGTCGAGAAGCTGTGGGGCTGTTCAGGTGATTTCTCTGTCAGTTTCCCACTCACAGCACTTAAGTATTCTCATTTCTGTTCCTTCTTCCCTGTCTAACTCTTCTTTAGCCTTGCCTTCTCCTGCAAAGCCGGCCCTCAGGGACTCTGGGAAGGGTAAGGGGTCCTTCTCATGTCCTCACCACTGCTCACCACCATGGCTCTTCCCCACCAGACTGCACTCTACGGGCAGGGATCAGCTGTTAGTCATCTCTGTGCTGATGAAGTCTGGCACAGAGTGGGCTTCAGGTCAACGTACCAGGCTATGCACCACGCTGGGCAGGCCCTTGCTCAATAGATGTTGGTGGGATGAAAGAACAGGAGAGAGGAGTGAGAAAAGGAAATGAGGCAAGCAGGCTAATTTGTTGGACTCATAAGCTGATTCTATAGAGATCAGGGATGGAAATACTTCAAAAAACATAGCTTAAGACTCTCATACCAGTTTGGCTATTGATAAGGGAGGGTTGGCAAATGTGTAAGGACAATGGTGACTCCACATAAAAGAAAAACAGAACACAGCATGGGACAGAGGTCAGTGACAAACTTTTCAAAAACAGCAGGGCACCCACCCTCCTTTGTGTTTCAGAAAGGAAGCCACGGCCTTGCACACTTTCTCTGATACCCTGCCCAGCCCAGCCTACCTTATGCATGACGATCTTCCGCTGGCCTGGCTCCGCCACGTCAATCATCTTCTGGACCACATAGTTGGCATACTGGTCCTTCATCATGGTGTATAAGGCACTGTGGGGACCGTCGTTCATGGTGCACACCTCATCGATGAGCACAGCACGCTCCGTACGTGAGGCATGAGTAACACATTTCTCCACGACATTGCTGTAACGAGATAAAACCAGGGACAACTCTTAGAAGAGGGGCCCCTGTTAGTGAGGTTGTGCTTGCCTAGCTTCTGGCCTGACCTCAGGACCAGCAAGAAGAGAGAGCTATTTAGCATTTGAGGAAGATGAGTCGCCAACTGTCTGACTCTGTCTCTGACTCTCCACCTGTGCCATCTGTGGCATCCAACTGTAGGAAAGGGGGAACATGAGGGTGATCAAATCATACACTGCCATGCTACTGCATAATGGTCACCCAGAGAGACCAGGTCTTCAAGGACATGGGACCCAGCCCTCTAACGGGTGAGGGTAAGGAGCCCAGGTAGGTGAGGAGACTTAGGCACAAGGTTTAGGGCACTGGTTCACCACTCAGCTGGTTATTATTTTAACACTTACCAAAATCTGTCCACTCTTTCCTTGCCTCTGTGAATTCACCAAGGCCAGGAACGAACCTTACTTATGCCTATCTCCCTGCTGCCAAGCAGGGCATGGTGGCACGCACCCATAATTCCAGCTACTCAGGAGGCTGAAGCAGGAGAATTGCTTGAACTGGGAGGTGGAGGTTGCAGTGAGCCGAGATTGTGCCAAAGCATTCCAGCATGAGTGACAGAGCGAGACTCCGTCTCGAACTCCTGACCTCAAGTTATCTGCCCACCTCAGCCTCCCAAAGTGCTGAGACTACAGGCGTGAGCCACCACGCCTGGCCTCAGATAAATAATTTTTTTAAAAAACAGGAAAAAGAAATTTTAGAAAAGAAAAATAAAACATCTGAAATAAAATTTACTGTATGACTTTAATAGTGGATTAGAGATGACAGAAGAGTCAATGAACTTAAAAATAGATCAATATAAATAAACAAAAAAATACATCAGTAGCTTTCAGACATTTATTTTTTATTTTATTTTTATTTTTGAGACACTGTCTCTCTCTGTCACCCAGGCTGCAGTGCAATGGCATGATCTCGGCTCACTGCAACCTCCGCCTCCCGGGTTCAAATCATTCTTCTCCTGCCTCAGCCTCCCAAGCACCTAGGATTACAGATGCCCGCCATGACACCTGGCTATTTTTTGTTTTTTTAGTAGAGACAGGGTTTCACCATGTTGGTCAAGCTGGTCTCGAACTCCTGACCTCAAGCAATCTGCCCGATTTGCCCTCAGCCTCCCAAAGTGCTGGGATTACAGGCATGAGCCACTGCACCCGGCCCTAATTTTATTTTTGTACAGGCAGGATCTTGCCGTGTTGCCTAGGCTAGTCTCGAACTCTTGGCCTCAAGCAATCCTTCTGCTTCGGCCTTCCAACATGCTGGGGTTACAGGCATGAGCCACTGTTCCTGCTTCCAGATGTTTTTGATGGTGACCCAGAGCACAAAGTAAATTTTTCCACTGTTTGAAAAAATTTTTGTTTGAGACAGAGTCTCAATGTCGCCCAGGCTGGTGTGCAGTGGCACAATCTTGGCTCACTGCAACTTCCACCTCCTGGGTTCAAGCCATTCTCCTGACTCAGCCTCCCAAGTAGCTGGGACTACAGGCATGCGCCCCCGTGCCTGGCTAATTTTTGTATTTTCAGTAGAGATGGGTTTTGGCATGTTGACCAGGCTGGTCTGGAACTCCTGGCCTCAAGTGATTTGCCTGCCTTGGCCTCCCCCAAAGTGCTGGGATTACAGGTATGAGCTACTGTCCCCAGCCCCTATTTTTTCTTTTTAAAATAAGATTCATGGCCAGGCACGGTGGCTCATGCCTGTAATCCCAGCACTTTGGGAGGCCAAGGCAGGTGTGGATCATGATGTCAGGAGAACGAGACCATCCTGGCTAACATGGTGAAACCCCGTTTCTACTAAAAATACAAAAAAATTAGCCAGGCGTGGTGGTGGGCGCCGGTAGTCCCAGCTACTCGGGAGGCTGAGGCAGGAGAATGGAGTGAACCTGGGAGGCGGAGCTTGCAGTGAGCCAAGATTGCACCACTGTACTCCAGCCTGAGTGAGAGCGAGACTCCGTCTCACAAACAGACAGATAAGATTCATAATTTTCTACGAAAATCTATCTTTTCATTCACTAAAGCATATTTTCCTTTACATCCTGAGTATATTTAAACAGCTGCTGTATAATCAATCCTTCTTTACTAAGTCCAATAACTGGGTCATTTTAGACTATTCATTGACTTTTATTTCTTTTTTCTTGAGTATAGGTCACATTGTCCTATTATCCAGATAGACACTGCAAGTAACAAGCTACAGAAACTCAGAATTCTGTTATGTTCTACCAAAGAGAAGTGCCCTCCACTCCTGTTTTAGTGCAGTTAACTTGGCTATAGTCAAACTACAAACTTCTCCCATACAGTAAGCAGCAGCTAGAAATCCCAGTTCAATTCTTTTAGCCTTAGTTGGAAATGTGGTTCAGGGGTCAGTGAGACTTGGGGAAGGTTAAAATTGGGCCTCCCCCGAACCCCTGCTGGCTCTCTCCCTTTCTAGGATTTCTCTTTGTTGTGGTTGCCCTAAGGATTGCCTATTCCAGCTTTAGCTGCCCAGCATGGAAAAGACTGGGAAGTGATCAAAGGCTGACGGTCATCAGAAATAAGAAATTTCCCCAGTGCAATTCTCTTCCTCCAAATGGCAGCCCCCATCTCTCCGGTCTCCACTTGCCCTTTGGTTACTCTCTAGTGTCTTCAGGTAGTTCTTGTATTTCTGTCCACAATTTATACATGTTATCAATGGGAGGACTGGGCCCATAGTAGCTACTCAGTTACTAATTGTAACTGCTGTAGCTGGACATGGTGGTGTGCACCTACAGTCCCAGCTACTTAGTAGGCTGAGGTGGGAGGACTGCTTGAGCCCAGGAATCCTAGGCTGCAGTGAGCTAGGATTGCGCCACTGCACTCCAGCCAGGGCAACAGACTCTGTCTCTTAAAAAAATAAAAACTTTTTTTTAAATTGTTTTTGAATTTGTTGTAATATTAATTAATGCTTAGGCTACATCCAAGGGTGAGAAATTAAATACCGTGAACAAAAATGTAAACAGGAAACTGACCCAAAGAAGAGAACCCAAGAGATTCTGTCCCCCATTCTTCAGTCCTGGCAACTGGTCAAAAGGAACCCCCCAAAACAAAACAATATAAAGTCATAAGAGATAACTCTGATATGGTTAGCTATGGAGACACTGGATCTACAGGTACTTTCATTTCTTTTCTCTATTTTTCCATGCTGTGACACGTTATAAAATTTCACAAATTTAAAATGAATGAGGTCAGGTACTGGTGGCTTGTGCCTGTAATCCCAGCACTCTGAGAGGCCAAAGTGGGAGGATTAAGTCCAGGGGTTCAAGACCAGCCTGGCCAACATGGTGAAACCCTGTCTCTACAAAAATACAAAAAGTAGCTGGGTGCAGTGGTGTGCGCCTGCAGTCCCAGCTACTCAAGAGCCTGAGGCAGGAGGATCGCTTGAGCCTGGGAGATGGAGTTTGCAGTGAGCCAAGACTGTGCCACTGCACTCAAGCCTGGGCGACAGAGTGTGACCCTGTCTCAAAAAATAAAATAAACAAATTAAAAACATTAAGGTGGTATGAGTCCTGCCTTGCAATTTATTCTAAAAACCAGGGAAGAATATATTCCAAAAACAAAAAATACTATGTTATGTAGGTAGTAGGAGGACATATACAGTATCTTCTCAGAAGACCATACCACTATCCACATGGAAGGGCCATAGATTCCTTCTCCAACCTCTGCTACTTATAAGTGACCTAAGACACCTTTCACAACCTGAGAATAACTACTGCATTTCATTCTTGAGCTTGCACAATATGAAGACTGGAAAAGAGATCCTAAGAACACTAAGGCCTGTACATAGATATACATATGGTAAACTGCCTTTCTTTCAGGTGCCAAAAAGGGAAACTGAGTAAACAACATTTCACAATTCCAAACAAACAAGTTAATAAAATATTCAGTTCATCAAAGTGCAACACTCACATTCTTTAGTAACATATTCTCCAGATTTCAAAGTAGCTGACTCTATCAGAAAAGAACCCCACTAAAGGACCTCTTAAGAGTTTATACTTTGTAATAAGACTATTTGACTTTTTAAGCTACATATACTTTGAAAAAAAAAAAAAAAAAAAAAGACAATAGTAAAAAATAGAATCATAGTTCAATACTACTAATCCTCTCTTCTGGGAAATAAGTCTTTGTAACTCAAAGCACATACCTTGCAAATTTGTGCTGACTCAATACAAGTACATTGCCTCGGATTTCTGCCACAATTTTGCTTTTATCCTCAGGACGACCGTGCTCCAATACATGTTGGATTACATAATTTCCATATTGATCCTGTTTGAGAAATAGTAAAAGAAAGTGTATGTGAAAGCCAGTTCTGTGGGTTACCTAAGTCCTTATATCTAATTAAGACCTATCTTTCTTTTAGCACCATAATGGTTTAGATGAATACTAATAAACACACAACAATTTTTAAAACGGGTAGTAACATTTTTCTCTATTATTACAAAACAGGAACATATTACTAGACAATAGAATATACATATTCATTCTTAAAAGGGGAAGGAGTGTTATGACAATAAATATTCATTTTTCTCAAACACATATACAAATAGTTCACTGCACCTATTTATAACAGAGAAAAACTGGAAATATTTATGTCCAACAAAAAACAAGGGCATACCTAATTATTTAATCAGTGGTATAAGCAGAGAATGTATCAAAGCTAAAAACAAGAAATCAACAAATCAACTTATTTCATTTAACAATTATGAAACAGAGACCCAGAGGGATCAAATGTCTACCTAAGGTGACACCACAAGTACATGACAGAGTACTGGAAGTCAGATCTCCTGACTCCAGGGCTAGGGCTCAATTCACTACTCATATTCATAAAACACAAACCAAGCTGCTCTGAATACAAATACAACCACAAGATTCAAGGGTATTTTAAACACATTAACCTCTTCTGGAACCTACACTGACAAAACACACAAACTCTGGCCCTGGACGAGCCCACAGGTGTTTGCAGTTCCTCTACTGGCAACTCCACTACCTGTACAAGTTGCTCTGTGTGCTGGTGAAGCTCCTCTAAAATAGGGAGTGTCTGGTCAGGGAGACAGTGCTCCAGGATTCTCTGAATCACTCGGCAGCCATAAGGATGTGTGGACAAGGCAAATACCTAGGGTAGACAAACACAAATGAGAGGCAAAAATGACAGTCACCACCTTCAATGCTTCAGTATTGTTTATAAATATATATATGTATTATCCCACTAATCTTCACAAATGAACTTAATGGCATTTAAGTTCTCTCTACATATAATAAGGTGTGTGTGTGTAAATAAACTCATTGCTTATTTTAGGAATTCATAGATGTGCATAACTCAGAGCGGAAAAGGGCTTTTCCAAGCCATCAAGAAACAGATAACTAGTCAAAGTCATGAAGAACACACTTAGTTAAGAGAGTCAAGTGTGTCGACTGACAACCTCTCCAAAAGACAGCACTAACAACAGAAAAGGGAAGGACTGGGACCAAATCCTGAATGCTTTCACACTGCCAGAACAACCAGAATGCAATGTTCTGATTTAACAGTGATGTTTTTCAGCAATAAGAAAAGGTTCTTTTGCTGGGATTGGAGCAACAGAAAAGCACACTACCCTTGAGATTCTGCCCTTCCTAGCTTAATGGCATACACCTCACAACTGTAATCAAGAACAATAATAAGAGCAACAATAGCAGCTAACACTTACTGGATGCTTGCCAAGTGTAAGTCATCACACCCAGTGCTTTCTGTATGATTTTGTTTTGTTTTGGAGACAAGGTCTCACTCTATCACCCAGGCTGGAGCACAATGGTGATCACAGCTCACTGCAGCCTTGAGCTCTTGCACTCAGGTCATCCTCCTGCCTCAGCTTCCCAAGTTGCTGGGATTACAGGCACTTGCCACCACATCTGGCTACTTAAAAAAAAAAAATTGTGTGTAGAGATGGAGACTCGCTATGTTGCCCAGGCTGCTCCTGCACTCCTAGCCTTAAGCAATCCTCCCACCTTGGCCTCCCAAAGTGCTTATTCTTACAGGTGCGAGCCAACACACCTAGCCTTATGTGTAACCTTATACATGTAGCTTTATGTTTACAACTATAAAGATAAACAGTATACTGTATGGTTCTGCTTAAATTTAGCTTTATAAAAATGCTACACTTGTAGTCTGGAGCAACTTAATTTATTTCACACAACATTATGATTCCCATGTTCATTTACAATACTGTAAGTTTCTGTAGTTTATTCTGCATGGTATACAGAAAGAAATTGGCTGAGTATATGAGATTTCTTTTTTGGAGACAGAGTTTCACTCTTGTTGCCTAGGCAGGAGTGCAACAGCACCATCTCGGCTCACTGCAACCTCCGCCTCCCGGGTTCAAGTAATTCTTCTGCCTCACCCTCTCAAGCAGCTGGGATTACAGGCACCGGCTAATTTTTTTGTATTTCTAGTAAAACGTGGTTTCACTATGTTGGCCAGGCTGGTCTCAAACTACTGACCTCAGGTGATCCACCTGTCTCAGCCTCCCAAAGTGCTGGGATTACAGGCATGAGCCACCGTGCCCGGCCATGTATATGACATCTTTTAAAAATGCAATCCCCTGCTCATGGTCATCTGGGTTGCTTAAGTCTTTTAAGAGAATAATGGTGTTTAAACATGTCTAAATAGGTCTTGTGGTATATATGTACAGATATTTCAACAGGATCACAGAAATTACAAAGGTTGAAATTTGAAAGACAATACTAAATTATTTTCCAAAATGGTTGTGTCAATGTCTCTTCCCACCAGCAGTGTATCTCTTTCCTGTCAGCACACAGCAACTGATGGGTAAGTAACAGTCTATCATTTGTGGCTTAATTTTGCACTTTCCTTGTTCCTAATGGAACTGAGTATTTTTTCATGTCTACTGGCAATTTGTGTTTCTTCTATGAAAAGTCAACTTGTGTTTTGGGCTCACTTTTACATCACATTGTATTGTTTTCCTTCATTACAGAGAGGTTCTTTATACACTCTAGTTATCAATTCTTTGACAGTTTCATCTTAAAAGTATTCTCTCCTGGTGGCTTAATCGTTTTACCTTTTTTGTTGTATACTTCCATAAATGTAACATCTTAATGTTAAGGTAAACAGATCTACCCTTTTTTCATTAACTCAGAAACTCCCAATAACTACGTGGGTTGCTGTCAGTAATCAACCATTGTGGTCACTGAGCAAACAGCAAAACCTAAAGATTACTACACATCACATATCACTCTATACTCTGCAGTACATACAATTATACCTGAAAATCTATGTGCTTTTTCTCATTTTTCCCCCTTCCCTAAAGAAAAACCAATTTCACACACCCAAAAAGGGAGCTGAGTTTTACTGTCCTGTCCCATCCACCTTAGGAGACTGTAAGGACCTTTGTGTCTTGGCAAAAAAGGAAAAACAAAAAAACAAAACAAACAACAACAGCAACAAAAAACTATAACCAATTCAGAGGCAATTCCGGAAAAAGGTATTTATATATAAAAGTAACAATCTTACTTGGAAGTTGACGCTAAGAAGAGATTTTTTGACATACGGGAAAACAGGAGAAACTAGAAGTTATCTCTGGTTATGTGGTCATTTAATACAATCCAAACCAACCTGGACTGCATCCCCTCCAAAAAAATTTAAGCAAGAAGCACCTTGTTATTTTAAAGATATATTCACACATGACCCACAACATTAGTTCCATAAATTACCTGAATTTTAAACCAAATTTAAAACGAAAGCACTGAAATATCAGAATAAATAGTACTTAACCAAGGGAAATAATTTATTCTTCAAATATGAGATTTCATCTTAACAACTCTTATGACTGTGTTTCATCCCAATATGAGCAGACATCTGCATTAATGATGGAAAGAAGGCCCAGAGACCCAGATACTTGGCAACACATAGACAGGTACTTGACAGTACTATACAGGATTGCTTTTTACTGCAGTCTAAAGTACATTAAGATCAGGCACAGTGGCTCATGCCTGTAATCCCAGCAACTTCGGGAGGTTGAGGCAGGTGGATTGCTTGAGTGCAGGAATTCAAGAATAGCCTGGGCAACATGGTGAGGCCGCTGTCTCTACAAAATATTTTAAAATGAGCCAGATGTGGTGGTATGTGCCTGTAATTCCAGCTACTTGGGAGGCTGAGGTGGGAGGATTGCTTGAACCTGGTAGTTCAAGGATGTAGTGAGCCGTGATGGTGCCACTGCACTCCAGCCTGGGCAACAGAGCAGGATCCAGTCTCAAAAACACAAAGTACATGAAGCACATTGACAACATGCCACAAATCCTATTCTGTTTTCTGCTCACGAAGGAAATAAATTTGTTTCAATTATTGCTCTCCTGGGTCACTTACCTGTCCTTTAAACGCATCGATGATAAACTGCAAAGACTGGGGCTGTACACATTCAATGCATTTCTGAACCACGTGATTGCCATTCTGATCTTTCACACACTTCAAGACATGGCCATCTAGTTCCCGAACCATCTCATTCTATTGGAGACAAAGAAAGCACCACCAGAATCACAGCAAGCAAACATGTGGACAAAGAATATTCTTTTCACCAAACACGAAAGCACTACTGAACAGAGAATCTGTGATGACTAAAGTGGAATAGCAACTGTGGAACAATGACAACAAACAGGGAAACAAATGAGGACCTGAGTCTTTTCATACATTAGCAAATTTACAGTAAAATTTCCAACAATAAATTTACTGTACCAATAACCAGTAACCAAAAAGATCTCACACCGGTAAAAACAAAAAACAAAGAAAAGCCTTTTAAGAGTGCCTCTTTTTTTTGAGATGGAGTCTTGCTCTGTCACCCAGGCTAGAGTACAGCAGTGGCACGATCTCAGCTCACCGCAACCTCCGCCTCCCAGGTTCAAGCAATTCTCCTATCTCAGTCTCCCAAGTAGCTGGGATTACAGGTGTGAACCACCACACCTGGCTAATTTTTGTATTTTTAGTAGAGACGGGTTTTGCCATGTTGGTCAGGCTGTCTCAAACTCCTGACCTCAGGAGATCTGCCCTCTTTGGCCTCCCAAAGTGCTGGAGTTACAGGCGTGAGCCACCGCACCCGGCCAACTCTTAGAGCTTAAAAAAAATATAAAGCGTAGACATCTTCAAATACAAAGCAGCCTACATCAGGAACAGATACTCCTTAACTTATGAAAGAATTACATTCCAATAAACCTGTTATAAGTTTTCATCATTAACTAAAAAACGCATTTAAATATCCCTAATTTACAGAACATCATAGCTAATCCTAGACCCTCAGAAATGCTCAGAGCACTTACAGTACCCTAGAGTTAGACAAAATTATCTAACACAGAGCCTGTTTTATAATTTAAAAAAAAAAAAAAATTATAGGCCAGACACACTGGCTCATTCCTGTAATCCTAGCATTTGGGAGGCCTAGGCAGGCAGATCACAAGGTCACGAGTTCAAGACCAGCCTGGCCAAGATGGTGAAACCCCATCTCTACTAAAAACACAAAAATTAGCCGGGCACGGTGGTGCGCGTCTGTAAATTCAGCTACTCGGGAGATTGAGGCAGAAGAATTTCTTGAACCAGGGAGGCGGAGGTTGCAGTGAGCCAAGTTGTACCACTGTATTATAGCTGAGCAACAGAGTGAGACTCCGTCTCAAAAAAAAAAAAAAAAAAAAAATTATTTTATATACATATATATAAATAAAAAATAAAAACAATAAAAAATATTCAAAGTACAGTTTTTATCGAAGCATAATGCTTTCACATCATTTGTAAGTTGAAACATCATAAGTCAGGGGCTATTTGTACACTGTATTAAAGAATTTCTACATGGCACACAGCCACAGTCCCAGCTACTCTGGAGGTGGGAGGATCACCTGAGCCCAGGAGTTTGAGGCTGCAGTGAGCTATGATAATGCTACCAGAAGCCTGGATGACAGAGCAACACCCTTTATTTTATTTCCCTTTATTTTATTTTCTAAAAATAAAACAAAACTAACCAAACTAAAGAATTTCACATACAATTCATCATGTTTTTATTATGACAACCCTGTAAAGTATTCCTAGTAATGATACTAATTAAGCTAGAGTTTACTTAGGCATACCTCTAAGTGTGTAACACGTTTTAATTAAATTTTCTTAACAATCTTACGGAGTGGACACCACCATAGGTGGAGAAACCAAGGAAGAGGCAAATTAAAAGACTTACAAAACTATAGACCTAGATTCCCAAGATTCAAACCCAAGCAATCTGGCTGAACTGTATGATAAACTACTATGTCAGTAAACTAAACTGTCAACAATACATTATCCTGAACACCCCAACTCTGCTGGTATATAAAAGAAACTGAGACAGAGGAGGCTTAAGTCACATATTTCAAACTATGGATAGAAAGTGACAGAATTACAATTCTAGCCTAAGCTGTGACTCCAACACCTATGATCTTACTAAGCCATAGTGACTGCAGAGTCAGCAGGAATGCTTCTCAGTTAATCAATGAAAAGTGTGCAAACACAGGAAGTAGATGAAATGGCCAGAAACTGAGTCTGTGAGTAGGAAATGGGTGATGGTGACAGGATATATATAGAGAGAGATACTGGGATTTCGACTGGAGCCCTTCCCCCAAACTCACTGTCCCAGGTCTTAGGTATCTTGAAATTAAATGCCTGCACTATGGCTATACCTGGTGCCTCCTGCCTAATTTCCTTGCTGTCTCCAATCTCTGTACATTGGCTAAACTGTGTTGCCAGTGGATTTATGTTAGAAGACTGCAAGTCATGTCAAAATAGTGATGCTAATGAATGCAATGTCTTAAATGCCCAAAATGTTGAGTACCTCAAAGCAACTAAGATATCATCTAATTAAAGAAATTAAAGATGACAATGGTAGGGGCTAAAGAAGCAAAAGGCAAGAGACACAGTGATTAAGTGTCAGAAGGGAATTTATTTTATTTTTTTTGGGGGGGAAGCAGGGTCTCTTAGGATCTGTCACCCAGGCTGGAGTACAGTGGTGCAATCATGGCTCACTGCAGCCTCAACCTCCTGGGCTCAAGCAATCCTCCTACCTCAGCCCCCCAGGCAGCTGAGACTATAGGAGTGCACCACCAGGCCCAGCTAACTTTTTATAGAGATGGGGTTTCACCATGCTGCGCAGGCTGGTCCTGGGCCCTAGCAATCTACCCACCTTGGCCTCCCAAAGTGCTGGGATTACAGGCATAAGCCACTGTGCTGGGCCCAGAAGAGAATAATTTACTCTGAAAATACAATTATGGGAATGATGGGAACTGTGGAAATAATTATGACAATGAAGCTTACACAAAAATAAAGTCAAGGAATACTTATAAACAAAAAGAAGGAGAGATGGCTTCTCTGGATATTTTTGTGATCCAGAAGAAATAAAAATTCCAACAAAGATGAGTTAGTTTTACCTAAAATGGCAAACTTGCATCTAGAAAGAGTAAAATAATCCATGGTAGGAAGCGTAAGTCAGGCCCAGAACAAGACACCACAGAGAAACATGACCAGAAAAAATATGTGAAAAATATAACACAGAAAAGAACAATAGCTGGGTGGGGTATCTCACAACTGTAATCCCAGCACTTTGGGAGGCCAAATCAATCGAGTCCAGGGGTTCAAGACCAGCCTGGGCAACATGGTAGAAACCCCCATCTCTACCAAAAATACACACATTATCCAGGGGTAATGGCGCATGCCTGTAGTTCCAGCTGCTCAGGAGGCTAATATGGGAGGACCACTTCAGCTCAGGAGGTTGAGGCTGCAGCAAGGCACAATTATGCCACTGCACTCCAGCCTGGGTGACAGAGTGAGACCTTGTCTCCAAAAAGAAAGAAAGAAAGAAAAAAAGAAAGACAAGAAAATTAAAGAAGAAAAATTCAACTATCTATGAAAATCCAAGAAAAATTAAAATTGGCAATGATCTGAACATTAAAAGAAAATTAAAAATAGCTTCACACTTGCTTCTAATTATTTATACTTTCTTATTAATGCTACATCTCCAGTACTAAGCACTGAATAAATGAACTCCAGACCTGCTCTATCTCTAGCATTCCTCTCTCCCTTCACCAGCATCATGGCACATACCTATGAAACTCACCACTTTAAAAACTTTGGACTTCTTCAGACTTCAACTGCCATTGCCAACACCAGTGCAGTGTTCTGGATTGGTTTAGTATGACTCAGGGGTGGTGGGTGTCTTGTCTGGCTCAGAACTTGAGTCCATTAACAAAGATTCTCATTACCGAACTTTGTTCTCAGTGAGGGCAAGTGGGTCATCACTGCCAGACAAAAGGCCAACCAACCCCTCAAATGAGAAGGGCTCAGTAAGCTCAGAGCCCAAAAGCTGCAGGCTCAGATGAGAAGCACCAGAGGCTGGAGGCACTGCCTAGCACAAACACAACTGTAGCATACCCTGCCTGTGGGTCTGTTTTGTTTCCTGGGCCCTGTGGTGTCTGCAGTGCTCACTGGACCCACACCGTGACTTGTCGAGAAGCTGTGGGGCTGTTCAGGTGATTTCTCTGTCAGTTTCCCACTCACAGCACTTAAGTATTCTCATTTCTGTTCCTTCTTCCCTGTCTAACTCTTCTTTAGCCTTGCCTTCTCCTGCAAAGCCGGCCCTCAGGGACTCTGGGAAGGGTAAGGGGTCCTTCTCATGTCCTCACCACTGCTCACCACCATGGCTCTTCCCCACCAGACTGCACTCTACGGGCAGGGATCAGCTGTTAGTCATCTCTGTGCTGATGAAGTCTGGCACAGAGTGGGCTTCAGGTCAACGTACCAGGCTATGCACCACGCTGGGCAGGCCCTTGCTCAATAGATGTTGGTGGGATGAAAGAACAGGAGAGAAGGAGTAAAAAAATATGGAAGGTGGGTTGGATGAAAGTTTGACTTGTTGGAGAAAATGATGGCTTATTAGCATTTTACCTGCTTTAATTCATGGAGGAAAAAAAAAAAATACCTGTAAAATTGAACCTATTAAAGGCTAAGTTCTGGCCAATGGAAGAGTATTGGATACCACAGGTTTTAATACAAGATACTTGATCTACAATAAATTTAAATTATTTGCACAGTTCATGCTTGCCATGCACAAAAAGGCAGCCATAAGCAACAATGCAAAACCATAAAAGAAAACTGAAAATTGACAGAATTACAGGGTTCACTACATGTACCATGGAGAAACATCAAACACCAAGAGAAAAGTTAAAGGGGAAACTTACAATTACCTGCTGGTCTGAAGGAATAAACTCAAGAGCTTTCTGGATAACACGGCAGCCATACATCTGTAGTGCCAATGACAGGACATGACCTCGAATCCGTTCTGCCAAAGCCAGCTTCTGTTCAAGACTGCCAAACTAGACATAATGTGTGGGTGAACACCATTACTTAAGTAGAAGGAAACAAACCAGAGAAAGCAAAGCATTCATTATTCTGCATCAACCACTGGCATAACCTCTTTTAGCCCTGATACCTGTGATTAACTAAACCTTTTATTTAAAGAGCCACTGTCTCTTCAAGCCAGTAGTTCTCGGCCTCTAATTATGAGTAACCCTTTTTAATGTTAAAAAGTTTCTCAGATACCCAACAATAGTAGTTTCACTATTAATATCTGCTAAGCAAACACATAATTCCTCAAAACTGTCATTAAAACATACTATTAAATGAATCCGGCCAGGTGCAGTGGCTCACACTTGTAAACCCAGCACTTTGGGAGGTCAAGGAGGGTGGATCACCTGAGGTCAGGAATTCAAGACCAGCCTGGCCAACATGGCAAAACCCCGCCTCTACTAAAAACACAAAAATTGGCCGGGCATGGTGGCACGCTCCTGTAACTGCAGCTACTCGGGAGGCTGAGGCAGGAGAATCGCCTCAACCCAGGAGGCAGAGTTACATTACAGTGAGCTGAGAAAGCACTACCATACTCCAGCCTGCCCCATAGAGTGAGACTGTGTGTCCAAAAAAAAAAAAGAATCCATATTCTCTTACTGCCAAAGCACACATGGATACACTGTTTTGAAGTAGTATTCTACATCATTAACAGAATTGATTTTTTTTTTTCCTCCTATTTACACAAAGTAACAGAGTTGGGAGGGGAAAATTAGCACAATCAAGAAGTAAGACTACACAATGTTAAAATTCTACTTAGAATGATTTTCCATCCTTGGCTTTTTATTTTCATTTGAATCACATAATCATGAGATTGGAGGAGACGTTATGAATTATCAGCCCATCCAACCTCCTCATTCTCCCAAGGGGAACTAAGAACCAGAGAAGTTCTCAAACTTGGTCCAAATCATGTGGCTATAATCCATTGTATATTTTGTCACCCCAAGGTACATCAGCCTCTAGAACTAGAGAACTCAGTATTTTTACATATGTGACAAAATGGCAGTGCAAAGTCATTCTAAAATCAAAAATACAAATCATGTTTAGATTGGTTTCTTAGTCTAAAGTTGAAGAATTCAGGGTGAAAAACCGTAAGTCTTCATGAAAAAACTTGGGAAGGTAACACTTGAGTACGTCATTTTTAATCTTCATACAAATCAAACTGAATGAGATGTTAAGACATTTACAAATTTGTTTTGTGGCAGGTAATGTGCAGAATTCCAGCATTTTCCTCCCCATACCAGACTCCTCCTCATCTCGAAGTTTTGTGCCATTCTGCATCTATAACTTAGGGTTGCCAATACCAGATAATAAGGACTACAATGGTAAGCAAAAAAATCCCTGCCTCCCTGAAATTTTGCTTTATTAGAGGAAAAATACATTAACCTAACAATCTCATTCTTTCCAAAGACAATGATAAAAAAAAAAAGTGAACGTTATTCAAACTAACAGAAGTAAAACAAGAAATCAAGGCCAAACGATCAGCCAAGCAGCAGCATTGAACAATTCTTGTGATCCTAGCTGATAATGAAACATACTGGAGTTGGTGTCCAAAGACAATTCTCTTAAGAACCTTAGAAAAATTTTGTTTTTGGCAATATTTTATTGTGATCCTGCTAAAACTACTTTACAGGGATTATTTCCTCTTTAAGTGACATGTTTTGTGAAACCATTGTAACAATCTGAAATAATGTGCTGGGTCCTAAATGGGGACACCAGTTTTCCAAACACATTTCCAAAACAGACTGGAATTATCTGCTTGGGTATTTAAACCATACAGAATAGACAGACTACTTCTAATGAATTGGAAAAACACTAAAAAGCTCTTCAAAAAGACTACTCACCCTTCATTCTGAAGACTGGAATGGGACTGCTATTCTTAAAAAGGCTAATGAAAATCAAAATGCTCTGCAGATTCTCTGAAGTCAAAGGATAGAAAGAACAAAGGCTTACTTCAAAGAACTTCTGAATGACGTAATTTCCAAACACATCTACCATGAGTTGGTAAGCAGCCTGGAGGATTTCATTGAAGACAAGCTGGCGCTCAGCTGGTGTGGCACGCTCGAGTTTCAGCTGAATGAATCTGAAGCACAAAGTAAAAAGGGCAATCACAGCACTGAAGGAAGACCTGGAGATAACGTCAGAGAACCTCGGTTCGTAGACTGCATCCGTTCTGAAATGTGTGTAAGTGAGCATGTGTGCACACACATGCACACAATAAACCAAACTTTATTTGAATGAATCACCTGAACTCCCCTGAATAATTTTTAAATAGAGGAAGAAGGCCCTAACTTAATTGAGCTTTGAAAATTACATACAAATGTTGGTATATTTCATTCCAGTAGGGCATGTCTACTGAATCTTATTTATGTGCAAGGTGGGAGGAGATGAAAAGGGGGTGCGGGGGTAGGGGTGCAGGAAGAGAGGAGGGGTGGAGGGAGACATAACACAACATGTACCCTACTTGACTTTTTCCTTTAGAAACCAGTCTCACATCAATGAACACAAAGCTTACAGTCCTTACTATATTCCTTAACTTATTTTCATATAAAACAGCATCTATCAGCTACTCAGGAGGCTGAGGCAGGAGAATGGCAAGAACCCAGGAGGCGGAGCTTGCAGTGAGCCGAGATTGCGCCACTGCACTCCAGCCTGGGCGACAGAGAGACACTCTGTCTCAAAAAACAAAATAAAACAAAAAACAAAAACAAAACAGTATTCATTATCTTCCAAAGTAGTAGCAGTCTGCCTTTTTTTAGTCTAGATGACCAGTATCAGGAAAATCATGTTGCCTCTTAATCTAGCCTATAGAATTCAAATATGAGAAATATTGGCCCAGTAGCTAGCTGGCAGAACTTAAGGAGGAGAAACTGTTTAGAAACTGTAGAAACTGTTTCACTGGACACAGTCAAAAGAAAGAAACAGAAATAGAAATGGGAAAGAAGGATGGTGTTGTCACCATAATTATGCTCTATCCCCTGGACCAGATTCGCTTTCTGTGAAGCCCACTGCAGCAGCCCAACAGGAAGGGGTAACACAAACCAAATTCTGTCTTCTATAATAGTTTCTTCTCTCATCTCTACGTAGACTGTCACTTCTACAGAGTGGAACAACAAAGAAAGGTGGTAGAGCTGTCTTACTCCTAAGCACCCTAGATCAAACTTGTATTTGAATAGCATCTCTTCGAGAGTGAAAGATTCTTCATAATGTTTAATGCAGCCAAAGTATATGTATGTCTTTGTTTTCATGTTTGTTTCTTAAATCCCTATGAAATAATGTGATGCAAAGTAAGAGGCATGCTTTTTAAAAAATTACTATATGGCATTTTATTTCAGTAGATACCCATCTGAGCCAAGACAGTTAAGGCATTAAAATTTTGGTTACCTTAAAGTGCCAAAGTCAAGGACTCACCTTGACCCATGCTGGTCTTGGGAAAATTCCATTATATGTCCAGCAATCTCCCGCAGTTGTAAATTGGGGTACCGGTTGTTTCGAAAATCTTCCAAAAGCCTGCTCCTGCCAGAAGGCATGACATCAGACATTCCATATCGCAAACGAGAGGAAGAGAAAAGAGTGCTGCTCGGGCTGAAGAGGCTGGAGGCGCTGCTTGCACTGCGGTACTTGGCTTCAGCGCCTGGAGCAGCAGAGATGTATCTTCCACTGCCGTTCGTGAGTCCTCCTGTTGGTTACAGAGCAGGAGAACTTAAGACCATTCTTAAGAAACTTCATTCAAGAGAGGAAAAAGCATTCCCACACCCGAAAGCCTGCACCATTTCTGATTTGTTCAATGCTATTGTTTTTGTGTTAAGACAATTATATTAGCGTCATGACTTTCGTAGGTCAACTCAACAACCTGGAAGGAAACTTCTGCACAAAGATTGAGATGGGAATGCTTTTACCGTTGATGGTAGACTGCTAGTAAGACTGCAGCAATAGTTAGCATGGCCCCTAGTAATGAAATGAGGAAGAAATATGCCAACCAGGTGAACCCAGCACCTGAGTACCAGCAATAAAAACTCAGAAAATGCAAAACACACTCAGACTTGAGTGGTTTTCCATTCTGAGATCTGTGGAGATGCCTTTCATTCTTGAATAACCCCCATTTCCATCTGAAACCCACTCTAAAAAATCAGGCATAAAGATTGGTCTGTTTTATACAGAGCACCCCGTGAAAAAGCTTTCTTTGAAGGAATGATTTTGCCACTAAATAGAAGTGTGAAAATCACTAAGACATTACAGGCCATGAATGAGACATAATGAGTAGAAGATAGCAGATACTTTAAAAATGAAAAATTTTCCGAGTTTTCATTACAAATGGACAGCTCTTAACAATTTCTATTGTGACACAGCCTGAAATGACCATAGTTTCAACAACCTTCATGCCATTGATAATGCTGTTTTGACGGGTGACGAGAGAATAATTGTGAATCTCTAGACAGATAAAATAAACATATGACCAAAAGGCATATCAAAACATACAACAGGCCAGGTGCAGTGGCTGATGTCCATAACCCCAACACTTTGGGAGGTCGAGGCAGGAGGATAGCTTAAGCCTAAGAGTTCGAGACCAGCCTGGACAACAGAGAGAGAACCCATCTCTAAAAAAATATAAATAAATAAAAAATTAGCTGGGTGTGGTGATGCACACCTATAGTCCTAACTACTTGGGATGTTGAGTTAGGAAGATCACCTGAGCCCAGCAGGTCGAGGCTGCAGTAAGCCATGATCGCACCACTCCATTCCAGTCTGGAAAACAGAGCAAGATCTTGTCTCCAAAAAAACAAGTATAGCAGCATAATAAATTATGAGTATTTTTAAATAACAGGCCGGGCACGGTGGCTCACACCTGTAATCCCAGCACTTTGGGAGGCTGATGTGGGCGGATCATGAGGTCGGGAGATCAAGACCACCCTGGCTAACATGGTAAAACCCCGCCTCTACTAAAAAATACAAAAAAAAAATAATAATTAGCTGCGCATGGTGGGGGGCGCCTGTAGTCCCAGCTACTTGGGAGACTAAGGCAGGAGAAAGATGAATCTGGGAGGCAGAGCTTGCAGTGAGCTGAGATCGTGCCACTGCACTCCAGCCTGGGCGACAGAGCAAGACTCCGTCTTAAAAAAAAAAAAAACCAGTTCTTATTTTATTATTATTATTTTTTAAATTTTGATTGCAACAGAAAAAAGATGTCAAGCCTTTCTGGGGTTGGTTCCCCCACCTCCTTTTAAACAAAAGGGCCAAAGTAGGTAAGAAATATTACATAAACCACAAAAAGTTTAGATGAATAACAATTAAAAATCCACGAGAAAAGTCATCCAACATTAACTACTTCCCAGCTCTTCACAAGTTTTAATAAATGTCTGGTTTGGGGTTTAATGGTAGCCACAAAAAGATACCCAGGCTGGACTTCATAGAATTCCAGGGCCCAGCTTCAAAAGTCTGGGTCTCAATCAAAGTGATGAAACCACCAAAAGAAAATGGCTCAATGTTGAAATCTGTAAAATATTTACTGAGGATTTGTCCTAAGCCCAATTCTATGTTAGAAGGTTTTTCATGTACACTTTCTTTGGAATTCTCATTGGCATTTTGGAAAAGGAGTTTGTAACTCCCATTTAAGTAACAGAAAATTAAGCCCAGAGAGATGAAATGTTCATCCAAAGATATAAAACCCAAAATTGTCATGGCCAGAATTCAGAACAGGGCTCTTAACTCCAGGGTCAGGGTCCTTTTGGGGTCTGAAATTCATTTTCGGACTCAGTTTCATCAAGTTTTCTTGTTCTACAAGAACGTTCTTGTCAAATTCCACAGTATTTCTGAATTCAAATGAAAAGTGATTTTTTTTTTAAAAGGAAAGTAAGTCAGGAGATTAATATGAACAGAAAACAGCAGTTGTAAGACTGTTCTTTTATTTATTTATTTATTTTTGAGACAGAGTCTTGCTCTGTCGCCCAGGCTGGAGTGCAATGGTGCCATCTTGGCTCACTGCAATCCCCACCTCCCAGGTTGAAGCAATTCTCTCACCTCAGCCTTCCAAGTAGCTGGGACTACAGGTGTGTGCCACCACACCCAGCTAATTTTTGTATTTTTAGTAGAGATGGGGTTTCACTGTGTTGGCCAGACAGATCCTGAACTCCTGACATCAAGAGATCTGCCCATCTCAGCTTCCCAAAGTGCTGGGATTACAGGAATGAGCCACAGCACCCAGCCAAGAGACTGTTCTTTATTCCATTTCAGAAACAATTCTGTCTCACCTGTCTGAGGCTGGGGAGAAATGGGCAAAGAGGTGGTAACAGGGTAGGTTGGCAGGTATGGGGAAAGTGTGGCAACAGCAACATGCCAAAGAAGAAGGGATGGGGTGAACACACACATGTTTTGAAAACAATTTAAAGGGATTTTAAGAAGCTGGTCACTGACCAAAATGGAAGGTAAATTATAAAGGAGCCAGGTCCTTGGTAATGATGTTTAATGATGAGACAAACCAACCCTGAACACTGCCCTACCACTATACTTCCAGTTATATAAGCCAATAAACGCACTTATTGTTTAAGTCACTCTGTTGGATGTTCTTTTGGGCAAAAACATAATGACTAATTCACACAAAGGACTAGACTGAATAACAGTTAATATGCGTACAAAAATGGTTAATACATTTACTGTGAGGTTTTGATTTTTGCCTCTTACCTCCTTAAATGTCAGACCAAGTATATACTACAAGGACATTCATGCACACACACATACACATAGTTTTTATTACTAAGAAATATAGACATCTCTGAAGAGAAATTTTCCCAGGTACTAAATTATAAATGGTAAACTGACAGTTCACAGACATATTTTGTTTGAGTCAAGTAGTACTTCTTTCAACATCAAGCCAATGCTTAAATTTTTGCTCTAAATTGTAATTATCTTGTTTTTGAAAAAAATGTGTGACAAATAGTAAATATTTGACCATTGGTAAGTATTTGTTGACTGAATCTGATTTACATGGCAAATGTGCATAAATGTGCTTTCTGATGCACAATAGTCTGAACACCAACATGTACTTGCACCCAAACCACTATAGCTCTGGGGGTTTCGGTGCAACACTCTGAAAGTGTTTAAATTTGCAACTGTTTTAAAAGAAACATTTCTCATAAGGCTTCAAAGGGACAGTGGTGGATTTCATAGGTCTGTGTCCTATGACAACTTTCCACAGACAGTAAGGGCTTAAATGTTTTATTTAAATTAATAAGCCCTTCAGTTATTTTGCATAATTGTATATGAGGGATTTCTGCCAGCAGCCATGTAGTATGTCATGCCTTTGCTATGTGGAATGTTCTCATTTACTTGCTTTTTGTACTCACAGATCTAACAGATGCCTAATGGGCAAAGCCCTGCCTTCCCACTTTTAAAGAAAAATTCCCATGGTCCCCAATATCTAGTTCTGTGTTTAATACAACCAGAAGCAACAATGTTCATCAAAATGTGTTTTAAAAATAAGTTCTCTCCAATTCATTCTCCAACACAACACCAAGGTAGCCCTAAATTAAATAACCATGAAGACTGATCATCTAAGTGCATGATTAATAAGGAGTCCAAAATACGTTAATTGTCACATAGTTAGTTTTACAGCTGATAAGTCTCCTTCAGAGAACCAAGTGAGAAATCACAAAATAACCATTTTAATTCAGAATGGGGAAATACCTAAACACATACATGACTACTGGTTATTGACCAGTAACTTAGAAACTTCTCCCTTCAGTTCAAGCAAGGACAGAGAAAGGTATTTTGCGCTTGAGCTGTGCTTTTCCTAAAAAACTAAAAGGCACATAAAACCCTGAAGATAAAGACAGAAAGAACACATTTTAAGAGGATGATAATTCTATCATAATAAAACTAAATGCTTTTTAGTTTAGAACTAAATTTCAGTTATAAATGCTTTCATTCTTTTGCCCTGGACAGCTTATGAACTTTTGAGCTCATTTTTACTATTATATATTTCATTTCTGAAGTAATGAACAACCATAACACTTTCTTCCCGGGCAAATGAAAAGCCTGGAGATTGTCAACAAAAACTACCTGCTACCTCTTGATGTTTAAGAGTTTTTAAATGATACAGCCTGGGGATTGTGCAGAAAACTATAAGCATGGAGAACCATTCTAAGAAATGAGGAGTGAGAAAAGGTGGAGTAGGATAAGGAGATCTATGGGTAGGCAGGGCGTGAAACCGCTACAGTCAGTCTTTGGGGACACTCATATCCACATCCTTTACTTTTTTCTCTTTGAGATGGGAAGCAGAATTTACTAGAGACGGATGTTTCCGTTATAAGTGAGAGTTTAAGGTTTTCTATGTAAACCACATATAAACCACAAATGAGAGTTACAGATCTAGTTAAGAAAATTCATATTTATTAACTATGATTAATAATTACAAAAATAATACTGTTAAATTGAGACATGCAACACATAATTAGGTCAAACAAAATAAATAATTGCAACATCTGTCTTGTTCAGGGTCACAACATATTTTATATGTACACATTCATGGGTACATATGCATATATGGGGGAGATGGGAGAGGAAGATTGAGAGAGATTTCACTTATTAAAATAGTGCATTTTATGCTAACAAATTTGGCAGTTTAGATGAAACGGACAAATTCCTAGAAAGTCACAAATTACCAAAACTGACTCAAGAAGAAAT